GTGAGAGGATTTTAACTGCTTCACTTTAAGAGTATCCAGTATAAGTGTTACTGAAAAGAACATTTTGTTAAAGCATGCTACTGAAAAATCTAATGTTAGAAATATAAGTGGGAAAACAAAGTTAGCTGAAACAATGAGATTTCAGACAAAAACATTTACACTTTGTGCTTTTTCTTTCTTGGCAAGCAAAAATTAAACCCTTTTTGCCAGTAGTGCCAATTATTATGAATGCTATTTTTGCCTAACAATATGTTACGTTGGGGAAACCAACACCCAAAAGATATCAGTAAGATCCACAGAGGCAACACACACACAGACAATAAACAGTAGAAGAGATCTAGTCGTAGCTCAAGCATAGACAAGCTCAGAGGTTTGTGTAGACGAAGATGATGCAAGTATGAAAATGTTATTAATGGTGATTTTGGTCGTTTTACTATGAATGCAATGAATGGTGAAGAGGGTGCTACATTCTTTACAATGTGGTTGTGCTTCAGCAACATCCTAGCTTTTATTAAGACCATTACTCACACCTACAGCGGGTCCAGCCTGGCCTCCAGTCAAAGCTTTCCATCTTCAAACAGAATGTCTCTTCCCCTCCCCTTTTTTACATATCATTTGTTTATTTTTCTGTTTTATTCATTGTCACTGCCATTATGATACCACGTGTACTTTAGACTTCTGGAAAGCTCTGTTTAGAAAGTGCCTGCTCGATTTAACAGAAAAGTGCAAGCTAATATCAGGAAATATCTATTGTATGTCCTCCAAAAGGTTGCCAGTTACCTGTTTATTTTCCTAAACTGTGTGTTAAAAAATGACAGTGTTAAACTTGATCCGAGTCTAAGTTAGAAGCTCTAATTTGTCAGTGGTATGAATGAACGCTCATGGCCTGATTGATGCTTTGTGTTGCTTTATGAGTCAAATCAGTAATTACAGTATCACTTTATGCCCCCACTTGTCTGTCAATTTTGCAGTATTAGAACAAGAAAACCATAGATTCAGCCTCTGTGTGTGAAAGGCACTAAGTCCATTCAAGATCTCTGTGTCGCTGTTGGGAGGAAGATGTGTTTTCTTGCAGGGACTTACTTTGTCTGTCTTTCTCGCAGCATTTAAACGAAAGCATAACCCAGCAGTTCTCCAGAGGATAGAAATAGCTCTCACTTTCTTTCTTTGTCTTTCACTCACACAGATATGCACACACGTAAACACATACATACAGTACACAAAGGTACACAATCCCACTCAAATATGCCACATACTTTCTCTCTGTGCTTATGTCTTTGGGAACATTTAAATCTGTCCCTTAGATTTTACTCAGGGTTGAAGAACAGGGAGATGGTGTGTGGAGTGGGTTGATGGCCTGCACAGAGTTGTACCACGACTGTGTACATTTGTCTATGCATATGTATGTGTACATATATGTGTATGTTAGGAATACTCCAGTTGTTCATTCTCTAATTTAGTATCAACAAATGTTCAAATTAGTCTTATTTTGTGAAGCAGCAGATGATGTTTGCCTCATCCGAGCTGTGTTTGCATCACTTTTTTCTACAAGGAAAAAAAGAATCTCCAACTCACGTATTTTATAGGATTTAGTTTGATTATACTCTAAAATAAAAGCAAGTGAAAAAGGGATATTTCTATTTGTATACATGTTCTTGTCTTAAACGCACAAGATTCTTGATATAGATAATTCTTAAAGGAAAATAGGCCACGTAACACCTCAATTTCTTAATTATAAAGAGTTTTAAGAGATAGTATATTGAACAATTTACAATTGGGCTATCTCTATTATGTGTGTTTCACATGTTTTATGAATTTTCCTTATACTGAGAGACAGCCTTGGTTAGGACGCCGCTGTCAGGATCGTTCATGTTACTGTATCGCTCCTCTTAAACGTCCCCTCCTCTCACATCAGCACAACTCAAGCCACAAAGAACACTGCTTTGGACTCCTTTATAAATGATATACATATATATATATATATATGCACACACAGCCAAATACACACACACACCAACATCAAAATGCTTGCGCTTTTCAACAGACACAAAGAAATTACACACACATGAAACTAGACACACAGATTGCAGCTAATTCATCAATAGTGTGTTCATGTTTTGGGAGAGGATGGTGACTGTAAAAATAGTATGTAGAGTAGTAGTAAAAAATAAAATAAAGAAATATTGCCATAGTAAACAGCTGGTAGACACGCGCAGAGACGGCGTCTGTACTCATGAGTCCGCCCAGATATGAATGGTATAACCTTTCAGGCCTTGTTTTGAGAGGGAGTGGCCAAACACCCCATTGCATTGCATGCTAGAATGGTAGACCCTTATTGATAATCTATGGTTAGACCTCTCCTTGCCTTCCTCTTCTTCACCTCTCTATCTCTCTCATTTCCTACTGTATTCCCACCTTGCCTGCTGTTGTGTTCTCCATGCCTATCTCAGTCCTTCATTCCTTTTTTTTTTTCTTGTTTGTAGCCTAGTTTTTACTTTGTTTTACAAACGTGCATGCACAAGCATCACTAAATTGTTGATGTTTTTAAAAAGAATATTTTGTTGCTGAGGCCATGCAAAGTGTTTTGAATATTGCCCTTATATGTGGAAAATGTCTTCTGAATGCTTTACATAATTTCTGCTGTAAAATGAAATCAGAATAAAAAGAAAAATTTGCACTTTAACTTATTTTTATTTGCCTAGTATTTATTTAGAGAAAGTATATAATCTGGGCTTTTCTTATTTCCTACTCTAATAAAGCTGGATCCAGTGTATTTCTACACCTCATTGGTCCACTCTGAAATCTTGAATACATCCTTTCATATTTGTATATGTTAACCTTTAATTTAGTATATCTTCCATTAATGTACAGAAAGGGGGTGTTGAAGCAATCGGATAAAACCCTAAATATGCAATTTCTTCTAATATCTCTAATAAAAAAGTATTCCACAATAATTGTTAAAGTTACATTTTTTGATATAACCATATTACCCAAATTTCAGTTGTTATAAATTCCAGATCTGTCTCTTTTCCCAAAACTCTTCATTGTACCAGTTTCACACATAGTACAGCCTACTACACTGCCCTTTCCTTTATCTCTTCTGACATTATCAGAACATTTTATTGCAAATACTAATGTGTCCTGTGCCAAGTTTCTTGAATAGTTCATTGTCTCTGATTCTTCACGTGTTTTTCCTGACTTCACAACAATATGCTTTACTGACCTCCAGTTTTAACATTCTGCCTGCACATCATGGGCTTCACTTTGTTAGAACAAGTGGTGGGGACATTTCTCCAGATTTAACATCAGCATAGCAGAAGACCACATATGTCCCTTCCCTGGGTGTTAAACCTTGAGCACCTGCATGAAAAACCAATGCATAAACCTCTGGACCACCAATGTGTTTTTTAAAATTATGAAAACCCAACTATAGATCTTGCTGTGATGTGATTTGAAGTGAATTTGTACCTTTATGCACACAACGAGCACATGGGTATACGGAGGAGAGAACATGACATAGGTACAACATATATGAATACATAAATACAGGAATAAATACAGGGATAATAAAATATAATAATAAATAAATGCAGCAATAAATACAGGAATAAATAAATAAATGTGGAAATAAATACAGGAATAAATAAACACAAGACAAAATAAATAAATACAGGAATAAATAAACACAAGACAAAATAAATAAATACAGGAATAAATAAATAAATAAATGTGGAAATAAATAAATATAAGTTGAGAATAAAACAGAACACACATTATATATATTTAATGTATTTCTAAATTTATTTTCACATACATTTATATATTTATTAATTTCTGTGTTTCTTGGAGAAACTTGTTTTGCTTGGTAGCCTTGTATTCTGTGGAGACGACAACATTTATAAGAAATGTATTTTCAATTGCTGTGAAAGTTTCAACAAGTGCACGTGTCTTTAACAATATCTTTGAGTTGCTTTCATATTCTATTTCACTTCCTCTGACCAGTAGGCCTACCACTTTCATTTGGAAGCTTTGTGTCAAGTTGTACACAAAGTGTCTCTACACTCTCTTCAATACATATTTTAAAAGCTTACAGCACCGGGAATTTCCGGCGTTATCGTGTTCAACTCATAGGTTCAACTGTAAAGCCCCTGCCTTGAGACAAAAGTAAGTAACATTTGTGATATTGGGCTAAATAAATACACTCTGATTGACTTTGATTGATGGATTTGGCGCAAGAAGTACACTTCACTTCAGAGCCCTCAAGAGCCAGATAGCCTATAAATGTTTATTAGTGTAAAAAATGGTGTAGGTAAAAAGGTTTTGCTCCTACCTAAAACTCAGTAACAGGAGTGTAGGCTACGGGATGGGATTTCTAACAGGTCTTCTCCAGTGAGAACATAAACACATTAAATAAGCCGCACACACACTAGGATAAATCAACATGATGACGGCATGGCTGGAATTAAACCCACCACCTTCTGACTGTGAAAGACAACAGCTCTTCCTCTCTGCTTCAACCGAGTTATGGGCTTTTGTTCAGAAATGATGGTGGAGACATGTCCCCATGCCGCACAAATGACGCCTTTGCTGCCTGCACATTGCCTTCATACTCTTTAAATGTGCGATCCCCTCATCATGTTGCCAAATATTGGATTTCCTTTAGGGACTATTTTAAATTCACATGGTTTGTCCGACGACGTGTGGAACACTTTGGTCCTACCGGAAAATTACTGGTATTTGTTGTAGATTACGTCACTTCGATTTCTCTTTACCGTAAAATGTGAGCCTTTTTGATGTTAAACACGATCTCAAATGTCTCTAGACCAAATTAGTCAATCATTTGGCCATGTTATAACAGTTGTCAAATGATATCTTAACCAAGCCAGCCTTAGTTGCTCATTTTGTAAGAAATAGTGCTTATCTCTGTGTGCTTCCCTATCCCAATCTCGGTAATTACGGTAAAATCCGGAAATGACGTACGAATCGCAGCTGATATAAGGACGTGGTTGTTCCGGTGAAAAAGTGGATTTGCTGCTTCAGTACAGTCGGTTTTAGAGTAGAATTTTTAATGTTTTAATTAACAAATGTACATATGTTTTAGCACTAGAGTATTTTAATATAATAATACAAGGACACATGTGTGTTTTTGTTGAGAAAACTCGGCACTGTGACGCCTTCTGCTGCTGCCTAGCTCTCCATCGGCTGAAGAAACAATGCAGGCCTAGCTAGCATCTCACGGTAGCTAGTGGAAGCTAATCGGATAACGCTGCTCCAGTAGACTGCAGTGGGATTTAAACCTTGGACGAAGCCCCATTTTTCGACGCTGCAATAACATCCATTCCGGTATTTTACACCTTTTTTTAAATCAAATGTTGCCTTTCATGCAATGTATGTAATTTAACCTAATTTGATGTCTGTTAAATAAGCAAATGCTCGTTAAGCGCAATATGTTCACGAAGTTAACGCGTTAGCTTGTTAGCATTTGCGAGTTAAGTAACTGTTTCCTTGTTGACTCTATAATAAAGTATTTATGTGTCATGCAGATGGTCAACAAGGAGAAGGACAAACGTATAATGTGTCTGCGAAATGTGTCAGGGATTAGGTAACATTAGAAAACAGTAGCTTGATTTCTACTTTGGTCCATCACAGTTTACCTGTCAGAACCATAGACTGTATACAATGGGACCGATCTTATCTGGCAGGTTCACATCTCCTTTATGTTTTCGCATTCGTAAGAAAACCTTTTTTTATTTTGTATTCCTTTCCTTCTAACTGGAAAGTGTATTTTAACCGGGGATCATAACACACGGGTCCACTTTATTGGATCCAAGCTTATCATTGCATAACACTGACTGTGCAGCAATGGTTTCGTTTATAGAGCTATGTTATGGCATACACATGTATTTGTTTCCTCCTTCCTGGTGCTTGCATCCATTATTTGCATTTATAATTGATGGGAAATATGTATGTTTTGTCTTTCTACACATCCTATATGACATTCTTTAGTATCCAGCAACCTTACAAACAATCCTAAAAAATGTTGCCTTCAAGGTTTCTTCTAATAACCATAACATAAACAGTTTGTTTGTGTATGTTGCAACCCTTCAGATTATACCGTACCCTCTCTTTAATTAGAATATTTTGACAGAATAAACACAATATTGTTTAAAAGTCTATCTGCCTTTCAAATGTAATGGATTCTGGGGCATTTCTGTTTTTAAAGGGACAGCTAACTGAACTTATTGTCTAATATGCAGCAATACAACTCTACATTCATGAAGCTAATGAGTGTTCATTGCTGCTCTGTTAACTATTTTCAGTACCAATGTATATGTTCATTGTCTATTGATTTAATTGATCAAATATTCATTATGTTTTTAAAATATAAAGACGTGATGGCCATCGCAATTTCTCAGAGCCAATGGAACTTCTTGATATTCCTTGTTTTGACCAGCCAGCATGGTACAACTCAAAGCTATTCCTCTTACTATCAAATGTAAAGTAAATCCTCACATTTGAGCTGAAACCTGAAACATAATGTTTTTTTTCTTGATATATGAAAAGCTGAATTGATGATCAATACAGTTTCCTGAAATGTTTTGCTTAGTGGAGTAATCAATCCTTTAATCGATTTATTTGAAACTATTTTACTGAGGAAGTTCAACTTGATGCTCATTTTGGAGACCGTAGTTTGGAGGTGCTGTTAAGGTGTATTGAGTTATATCGAGGGTTGTTTTAGTTATTTATTCATTGATATAAATGGGATGGACTGTTGTATCTGTCTGCACTAGTTTTTGCTAAGTATACCAAATAAACTGAGTTTATGTTGCTTTCCAGTCTGTCAAGACAGATTGCAAACTTTATTTATAATTTTAAGAGCTTCTTACAGTACCATAGCTCTTTGTTGTTTTAGTTTTTTTATCTTGATCTTATCCACATCAATGTCTTTTCAGCGATGAGCTCTCAGCTGCAGGTCTTCTCCCCCCCCTCCATCTCCTCCAGTGCCTTTTGCCGCGTTAAGAAGGTGAAGGTGGAGAACAATGTTTGGGACGTGTCCACCTCCGAAGCTTACAGCTCCCTAGCGGGCCAGTCGGCATACACCTTCGCCCCAGCCATGGCCGTGGCACCCTTTGCACCATCTCTGGTCTTCCCCCCCACAGCGCCCGGCTCAAGAGGTCAAGTGGTGGTGCGAGCCGCTGATAGCACCGGCAGTCTCCCTCGTGGATCCAGTCGGCGTGTGGTGGAGCAGGCCACGTCTTCCTCTTACGCTCACACAGAGACGACCTCTGAAACAAGGGGGCACAGGCACGGGCAGAAGAGAAAGATGGAGGAGACCACTGAAGGCAGCGGGAGCGGTTGTGGCAGTGTCCAAATATTGGAGGAGCTCTCAGCCCCTGCAGCAACGTACTCCACCCGTACCGGGGGTGGCGGAGGAGGCACAGGCCAGTCTATACCCCACTCAGCTACAACCACCAAGAGCAGCAGCTCCAACGGGGAGGGGGATTATCAGCTGGTGCAGCACGAGATCCTCTGCTCCGTGTCCTGCAGCTATGAAGTGCTGGAGTTTTTAGGAAGAGGCACGTTCGGACAAGTGGCTAAGTGCTGGAAGAGGGGCACCAATGAGATCGTGGCAATCAAGATCCTGAAAAACCATCCTTCCTATGCTCGTCAGGGCCAAATTGAGGTAACACAGTTTTGTTGATTCATTCATTTGTGTATCCTGATCTTTTGTTGTTGTGGTTACTGTTTTTATTTGACAATGTTTGCAGAGAGCTTCTTGTCTCGCAGAATTAATAATAAAATGCTAGCGCTGTGTGTAACATTGATGTGGTCCCAACTGATTTAGCTGAAGAAATCTCAAGTCAAAGCTTCCAGAGTAATGAGACAATCCAACGTGCATTTCTGAACAAGTTTAATTACAGCTTAATATAAAAGTTATTTTATTAACACTGCGGCCCCCTGTGTCAGAGGGTCTTTCAGTTTCTAAAAATTACATGTTATTTTCACAGGAAATCTCTGATTGTGTTTTATTAGAAAACGCAATTTTGGCGTGCTTTTTGCTCTTTTGCCCCCCATTATTTCTGACACGGGTTGGATTTGGTCCAATTCAGGATAAATTGTAATTGCCTTATCACATTACCTGGAGTTGCTTCCCAGATGTTACCATGTTGATGCAACATTATCAATCATTTTAAAGCAAACTGGTTAAATAAAACTTGTAACTGACCTCGACCACAGCGTTATTGTGCCCTTCCTCACACTTTCACTTTTATTTTCTTATTATGAAAGTGAACCAGCTATAATTGACACATTTAAACAGGGTTATTTGTATCTCTTCCAACAGGTGGGTATCCTGAACCGGCTCAGCGCAGAGAACGCGGATGAGTACAACTTTGTGCGTTCATATGAATGCTTCCAACACAAGGGTCACACGTGTCTGGTGTTTGAGATGCTGGAGCAGAACCTGTACGACTTTCTCAAACACAGCAAGTTCAGCCCACTCCCCCTGCGGCACATCAGACCCATCCTACAGCAGGTGGGCTCCACAGACATTCATTACACCTTTTTATAACCCACTATTATTATTACTTAAAGTGGACCTATCATGCTATATTTGAACAATATATTGTAGGGCAATACCTATATAAATATAGTTTTTAAAAAAAAAAAAATACCAAACAGATTCTGCATTTTAGCCATGCCTCATTTCGTTCTAGTTGCTCTTTCCAGCCCTGTTTTTGCAGGGGCTGATTCTGTGACATAGCTTTAATGCAAGCAGCTGACCACGCCCCCCTGCAGGAGAGGGGAGCGTGCTTTGAGATCAGCTGCTGGGCTGTCAGAAGAGGGGGAGAAAAAGAGATCTCCATCCTCAGTGTTTTATTCTTATATGATTATAGTCATTATTCATTTGTTTTAAAGCGCAATAAATAACAAAGAAGACCTTTGACCGACACTTTCCTAATTTTGTCCGGAAGATTAAAACTTTAACGGACATGTTGACCGGCGGAAAAAAAATCTAACTGACACTCTGCTGTCCCCTCGTTCCTTGGGAGAGGTGGGGGTTTGTCATCTGCTGGTGGACTACCGGAGAGAATTACAGTGCTTGCCTCGACGGGGAGGGATTGCATTGAATTACAGTTGCAGGAGGAGCAAACGCTTGCCTCGGGGAGGGAGAAAAAGAGCCACAGCGGAGAATAAACAGAAGGGCAACCATGCGCAGGAAGTCTTCTTCGCTGCTTTTGTGGCAGACTGCAGCGCCACTTACAGGCCTGGCATATGTACTACAGCGTCTCCAGCGCTTTTGAGCGGCAATGGCCGGCCGTGGCCCAACCCCACATTCCCCTGATAGGTGGAGAATTGGCCATATAGGCGGAGCTCCTCGTTCCTGACGTCAGAGAATTTTCAAATCTGTTTCCGATCCGTTGCAGCCCCGTTTTTAGAGATTTTGGGTATGGAGGAAAATAGAGAGGGTTGTGTTTTCTGACACTTGGTGAGTTCCCTGACACACCAGGGACACATTAATGTATAAAAGACGTACAAAAGTGCATTTTGCATGATAGGTCCCCTTTAATTTTGAGTTGCAGATATACGCCTTTCATTCTTACGTAGGTGAATTAATTGTACTGTTTTTTTATTGTCTTTAGGTGGCTACAGCGCTGATGAAGCTGAAAAGCCTCGGTCTGATTCATGCAGACCTGAAGCCAGAGAACATCATGCTGGTGGACCCCCTCAGACAGCCCTACAGGGTGAAGGTCATTGACTTTGGCTCAGCGAGTCATGTGTCCAAAGCTGTCTGCTCGACCTACTTACAGTCGCGCTACTACAGGTTCGTGTGAATAAATCCACTTTCTTTTAATACATCTAAATACTTTTGCCATGTTACTATGACACAACATTATAGCTCAAGTCTTGGTACTAATTGGTTAACCTCCTCTTCACTGTCTAGGGCTCCAGAGATAATTTTGGGTCTGCCATTCTGTGAGGCCATCGACATGTGGTCTCTGGGCTGTGTGATTGCTGAGCTGTTTCTGGGTTGGCCTCTCTACCCGGGGGCCTCTGAGTATGACCAGGTCAGTACCGACGTTAGAGTTCCCCAGGCCTTATCTGGGTAACAAAGAATGCCTGCAAGAGGCTACAAGTTTTTAGTTGATGGCGTGTCATGGAAGTACTGTAGGTGTACTTTAGAAACTCCTTGAGCTGCTAGTTTTGCTATAAATCAGGAGATACCAACGTGCTGCTGAGAAACAAGCATAACTACCCACTGTAAGAGTTGTATCCATGGCACTTACTGGTGTGTTTTATTGGTGTGTCTTATACTTGAATATGTTTTCCCTTCTCCAGATCCGTTACATTTCTCAGACCCAAGGCCTGCCTGCAGAGTACCTGCTGAGCGCGGGGACAAAGACCAGCCGCTTTTTCAATCGAGGACCTGACTCCAGCTACCCACTCTGGAGGCTTAAGGTTAATATGATCTCATAATATTCCTAGTGTCTCCCTATCTGAAGGCTGTAACTGATTGATCACCGTTACCAGAAGCTGACTGAATATGTAAAAAAAATTACCCATATCACTTCATGTTAATTGCATCTTCACTTTTGCTGTAACAATGTACATTTTCCCTCTGTGGGACTATTAAAGGTATTCTGATTCCGATATAGTTTTTGCAAATAATAACAAGCAAAATATGTTTTTATATTTGCCAGACCCCGTCAGAGCATGAAATGGAGATGGGTATCAAGTCCAAAGAGGCCAGGAAGTATATCTTCAACTGTCTGGATGACATGATGCAGGTAAATCGTTTTTCAAGTAACATCTTTTTAAATAAAAATACTATGCTCTCAAACCCAAGAAATGTCTTTACCGCTAACTCTTATTATTTGTCTGATTAATTTCGTTGTTTTATTTCTTGTATTCCAGGTCAACCTGTCTTCTCATTTGGAGGGTACGGACATGTTGGCAGAGAAAGCTGATAGACGAGAGTTTATAGACCTCCTGAAGCGGATGCTCCGTCTGGATGCTGACAAAAGGATCACGCCAACGAAGACTCTGGGTCACCCCTTTGTCACCATGAGCCACCTCATGGATTACCCCCACAGCTCCCAGTATGTGTGATGTGCAGATGTTCTTTGAGTCACTGCTGCACTATTATGTTTTCTTTACTTGAATGTTTTTTCTCATACACTATTACTCCACCCTCTCCAGTGTGAAGTCCTGCTTCCAGAACATGGAGATCTGTAAGCGCCGGAGCTCCTACGATAGCAGCAAATCCCTGTACTCCACCAGCGCAGTGCCCAGCGCTGCCGCCGGCAACCTCACTGTTACCTTCAGTAGCCAGCTCAACCAGCATAACCAGGTACGACCAATCACTTCACAGGGTCCACACAACAGTAGTAGGTGACATTTGTGAGGGCTAAAAAAAATCTGAATATTCAAACGCATCACATAACACCTTCCAATATTTAGTTTGGTTCTTGAAGTCATAAAAATGTAATTGCTCAGAATTGGAAATCTTGCTCAGCTTTTTCTTTTTCTGAGGCGCAACCATCTCATCCTTTCTTGCCCAAAACGAAATATGTCATGGCTTTTTTACCATTATCAGTCTTTTCACTTGTATGTTACTAATGCTATAGCGAGGAAGTTGCTAGTGAATTACTCACTGCCACATTTACATACTATTAAATTAGAAAAGCACTCCAACAAAATAAACATTACAGAGCTACAGCTAATATACTCACTAAGGATGGACTGTGAGGGAGAGTGCCCTGCAGTGGGTTTCAAGATGACCTTGAGAAGCACTGGTTGTGGGGTCTGAGCCCTCAGCGTTGTCTGTCAGATGACGCTAATGCTTTTGGTCAGTTGTGTGTGTGTGTGTCTCTCCGCAGCTTATCTCACACACCACTGACCCATCAGGCCAGTATTTTCCGTGCATTCAAGACTGTATGTTCCCTGACGTCATGTTGTGTTGAATCACTCTTCCTTTTGAAAAACCTGAAAACCTTATTTTAACTGCCATGTTTTAATATTTGAGCCCAAAACAGTGCTTCACTATAACGTTGAAATTGGTCAATGGATTATGTGAATATGTTTTGAATTGGTTTTTAAGAAATACAGATACATCACGTTGTCTCTTTAGGCTCAAAATTGTGCTTGAAAAAGTCCTTTTGTGATGTAATGAACGTTGCCACTCATTCTGTCTTTAATCAGTGGTCTTCTGTAATTCCTCCACCAGGTGCCTTCTGCGGGGGGGGGCGGTGCCTTTGCTGAACTACCAGCCCGCTCTATACCAGCAGGCGACCATCAACATTCCCGGGCTCGCTCAGCAGAGCGTCCCGATCCCCACGCGTGCTGCTGGGCTGTGCAGCCAGACTGAACCCTTCCAGCAGACCCTCATCGTCTGCCCACCCTCCACTATCCAAGGTAAAGGAGAACGCTGCAATCAGACTGAGAAAAACACAACATGAGGGGTTGCAGCAGAAGACGCCACTCACTGTTATTTATTCCAATTTGAATACGAAGAAGGGTTTCCTCAGATTGTACTTCAGTTATTTAGATGTCAGGCTGTCACTACTAACATCTACTTATTGCTCTAGTTGAAGGCAGATTATGAATGTTAATAAGATGCTTACCACAACATCCCACTCTTTAAGGGATACTTCAATACTGTGAGACCTTCATTTTAATTTAATCACTTGTATTTAATTGTTTTCAGGGCTACAGGCATCCAGTAAGAGCTCCAGTTACCCTGTGAGGATGGAGAACTCTGTACCCATAGTACCTCAGAACCAGGCTGCTCAGGCGTTGCAGCTCCAGCCCAGTATGCTCACACAGGTAAGAGTCTGGAGGGTCAGTCACATTTCAGATATCTGTCTGGGGCTAATGATGTTATCTTTAAATGTAGTCTTTCAAGAAGAGACACAAAGCTTGTACGGGCACACTTTCTTTTGAAAAAGATGGACAGAGGAAGCATGCATGTATGGCTGCTTGAGAGGGACATGGGCAGGTTGTAGGATTTGCAAATTATACATTTTCTTACACATTTTCTTCAGTTATATACGGTTTGTTTTCAGTGGAGACCTTGTTTATTTAATTGCATTTATAACATTAACCTTTGAAATAACAAAAGATGTGACTTCAAAAGCATAGCCTTTGTTCCAGGACCAGGCCTCTCTTATTCCCAGTGTCCTCTCTGGGATGGTGGCCAGATGTTTAATGCAGGAGGCTCCAAAAGCTGTCTAATTGTGATTTGCTAAACGTAGGATTATGGTCTGCCCACTGCAGAGGTCGGGGGTCTGGTCGGCCCGTGGTGCCAGTGTGTTTCTCTTCAGATTCAGCCTTTTGAAGGACCTAACGCAGCCCTCCCCTATCCTCCCTCCCTTCCTCCCTCCTCCAGGGTTCCTGCACCCCCCTGATGGTGGCCACGCTGCACCCACCCTCAGCAGGCATAGCCCCCCAGTACTCCCTGCCCCTCGGGCTGGGCAACGGGGTTGGTCGGCCCACCCTCCTGGAGCACACAGCCACAGTGCTGGTAAAGCAACAAAGAAGAATCACACACATGCACACTACAACTAACAAAGCCATCTCTATCCTGCCCCACTCCTACTTGTTTCATTAATGTTTGCTTTGTTCCCTCCTCTGTGCCACATGTTTTATTTTGCCATAGTCACATGAAGACTTGTTGTCAGACTTATGGTCGCTTGGTTCTTACTTTGTCGGGAAATTCAAAAAATGTTGATCCTGGACTCACCATTGCAGGGGGTCCGCGGGGTCTTAGAGTATTCAAAGTTGATAAATCAATTTAGCAAAAATGAAGGCTATTAAACGGCATTTTCCAAAGTATTACATTTTGTAGCTTGTTTTCAATAAGTATATAAATTATCCAAAGAGGTTGCATTCTACAGTCTGCCTGAATGTAATCATTGCGTAGGTGTGCAGTGTGATTCTGTGTAGTTTATTTATGGCATCCCGTTGGGTTTGACGTCATCTGAACCGGACATCGCACGCTCACTGCTTGATAGCGAGCGAAGGTCCGTTTACGCCGGTTGTTAAACAACATCGTTATGGGGAAATGCAAGTCTGCGTCCAAATGGTTGGAAGATAAGGAGGAAGGACAATCAATACTGTATATAGTCAATGTGAGGTAAAGTGTGTCGCCAATGTAACCGGTTAAAACTCGAAGTGGAGATGAGGTCTTAAAATGTATGGAAAGGGTCTTAAAAGGTCTTACATTTGACTTCAGGATTCCTGCATATACCCTGCAATGTCCTTTTTATACTTTTTTCAAATCCCCTTTTGACATTAAATCAGAATTGACAAATCGTTTATCCATTCCAAAGGACATACCATTCACTCCTCCCCCCCCAGTCTCTCCCCATAGGTGTGCTGAGGGCATGGAGCATGTGTTGCTGTGTGGGTCTGCGCTTTGCTTGCAGCTTCCCTTGTCCCGTCCTTCCTTGTTTACAGCAAAGGAGGTTGCAGCTACAAAGCCCACTAAAGCCCCCCCGACTCTCTGACACGCATCTTTTGTTTCACCCCCCAAACATGTGGCATGCCTTCTCCCCACACAGCTTATCAGCAGACTGTGTGGCATCAGTGGACTGAACTAATCTCTTTCTTCAGTGTTTCTTCTTTAACAGGCACCGTGCTCCTGTGCAGTCTTGTCTTTATCCCCCGTCTGTTTACAGTGCTTCATTGTTTGGGCTTTGCATGAGATCATCTCGTCCATTTTTGTTGCAGGGCAATGCTTTATTAAGGGAATGGCTTGGGAAAAGTTGCTCGCTTATCTATCTGTGCTTATGCCTGCGGAAGACATTTGTAGTTTGGACTTGTTTCTCAGCATGGCTCAGTCTGTCTGGCCCATTCCAGCGATCACATAAGTTGTGTTTACGCATTAATCTGATCGTTGATAGTAGATGTACTGAAGTGTGAGCGTCTGTTGTTTCTCTCAGCAGGCCTGGCCCACTGGCACGCAGCAGATCCTCATCCCGTCGTCATGGCAGCAGGTCCCGGGCGTGGCCATCCACAGCTCCGCCCACCAGTCCACTGTCCCCGAGTCCCCCCTGGAAACACTTCACTCAGAAGCTGCCGCGCAGCAGGGACACAGCTGGAGGTCGGTCCACCACTCATCAGTCTGAACAGTCTCATTCTTGTTTTACAATTATGAACTACCAACTTATAGTTTTACATATTTGAGACGCTCGTCATCCATTTCAATGTCACAACAAATACATTGGAGTGCCTTTTTAATCAAGGGTTTACCAGTGCTTTAAAGTAACTAAGTAGATTTCCTCAAGTACTGTACTTGTACTACTTCCTGTATAGTTTCCATCCTTTGCTTCTTTGTACTTCTGCTAACTGCCATTCAGATTCAGAGGCAAATCTGGTACTTTTTCTCCACTACACTTATTTAATACCTTCGCTTAATTTGCCCATTTGGATTAATGATGCGACATGTGATCGACAGTTAAATAAGACTTTAAGTTGGACTTTACATCCTGTCTACCCTGCAGTATAACATAATTAAAACTAGTGACCTGCTTTGATAACACTTGAATGCATCAATAATTATTATCAAAACATATGATATTTATTATTCTACTTTTACTTTTGGTACTTAAAACATTTGTTGATGCCAATTATTTTGTACTTTAGAGTAACCTTTGCAAAACAGGATATGTACTTGTACAGTGTACTCTTCTTACACTCTGGTACTTCCACTTTTACTTGAGTACTAGACCTGAGTATTATTAAGCCCCAACTCTGGAGCTTAGTGTATGCATTATAGTAAGTACATGAGTCACTGCAAAGGGACGGAAGTAAAGCTGCGTCAGTTGAAACAAACATGATCTCCTTGTGTTCATATATCATGTTCGGATTTAAGCGGTGCCCCTCCCTTTAACTTGTTTGTACTTTGGCCCTCGCAGGAATGCAGCCCAGGGCCGCAGCCAGCAGGAGAGGAAGAAGGTGAAGGCCAGACGGGGAGAGAACAGGAACAGGTTGGTGGAGCCTGCAGCATCTCAACGTTCACACTTGATGACAAATGTCTAAAAATAACTATCACACCCAGCAGATGTTATTCCTTAAAGTCGCTTCCGAGCAGTTGATACATTTAATTACAAATTCCTTAGCAGTAGTTAGTTTATTTGTCACTAGATGTGAACACAACAACCATTGATTAATGAAAAGGAGCAGTGAAAATACTCAGTATATTTAATCGTAGATTACGAATTACATTTCTTTGCCGTTACTGAAACCATGTTTGCTTTTGGTGGGAAAACTCAACTTTTCTATTGTTGCTCTTCCTAGGGGTATATCTGCCGCGTCATTGCTCAGCAGCAGCGGTGTGCCCCCGCTCAGCGCCGCGTGGTCGCAGCCCATAGTCATCTCCGACACACCCAGCCCGGCTGTCAGCATCATCACCATCCACAGTGACACGGACACCGAGGATGAGCGCAAGTTTCATCCCGCCAGGTGAGTCTCGCCTCTGCACCATTCACTCTTTTTATTTATCTTCTTAGTTTGAACCGAGCACATAAAAGGAGAATTTGTATTAAGAAGGATCTTAATGTCTGCCATCTTTTTGGATGCAGCTGCTAATCCAATTCTTGTTAGTACTATATTTTGACAATTTTCTAAAAAAGGACTAATGTAAGACGATGTTTGTTTGACTTCATTAGCAGACCAGGGCCTTATTGTTTTGTATTTGTAATACTTAAATAAACCTTCTTTAATTGTCTTATAAAATAACATTGTTTCTCCATGTACATAGCGTCGGCCTGAGCCAGCGCACTAACGTCATCAGCTGTGTGACGGTGCACGACTCGGACTCGTCCACAGCGAGCCCCCTGACCCCCCTCCCCCGCACGCTGAACCCAGCGGGCGGCGCGTCGTCTCGCCAGGCCAAGTCTCTGGCAGTGGTGGCGCCTTCAGTCAAAACCCAGGGCACGGAGCGAGGAGCTGCTTCACGTGGACGCCTGGACACTGGTGAGAACTTTATCTGTTTGTGTCACCATGCATTTTATTTAGGATGTGACTGACCCAACTTGATAACTCATTTATTTAATTTCCAGTGAACTACATAAAGCCGAAGAGATCATCCAACCGGCAGCCCTGCAGCTCCGGGGAGAGCATGGAGCGGAACAGGCTGCTGCCGAGCCAGTCACACCCTTTAAACCTGAGTCAGGTAATGTTTTTACAACATTCATCACTGTCTTGAAAAGTTCTATTTTTTAATTAAACTGCCGTGAGATGTTGGCAAAGAATTTGATTTATTTGCCGAACCCAGGTGGTAAACTATGCTGTCGGCAGTAGATGTGAACAGGTGTTCCTTTGCAAACACTGCCACCAATAACATATCAATCAATAAATATCACTACTGCAGGTTCACTGGTAAAAAGAAAAGCGCATTTGCTCAATATGTCAACAGATTGATGTTGACATCTGTAGACACAAAGAAACGGCAGTCATAATCCCAAAGAAGTGCGGGGAAAAGAAATCACGGGTTGCTCTGAGTCGTCAATGGGAAGTGACTCAGGTGCTTATGCGAAACAGGGGTGTTGGGAATAGGGCGGGGCGGGCGAATATTTTAAAAGCCTTTGCTGTAGAGTCGTTCATGCATGTTAGGCCTTGTCTGAAAATGTTGTCAAATATCTTGCCTGGAAATCTTAAGACGGTTTGAAATGATTTGCACCTGTATTATTATATAGAAATTCCATTGAACAATTTAACAAAGTGCTTTACAAAAGGAAATAAAACCAGGCGAGGTAGATAACATGAGAAGCGCACTGAGAAATGAAACACACTAAAATGAATATGAACAAATACATAATGATAAACAGTATTCATAAAAACATAGCAAACATTTAAACGTAGTCCATGCACAGACAACATGCTGTCACAGCTGATGTTCTCCTCCTCGTTGCTCTCATGCCTCTGTGCTCCTCCTCAGGTCCAGCCGGTGGTCTCTTCCTCTCAGGAGCGCTCCCACAGCGACTCGTCTCTGCGCCGCCAGCCGACCTTCCCTCCGGTCGTCTCGTCTCACTACAACTTCCCCGAGGTGTCCGGCCCCGGCCTGTACGCCTACCCCGCCTCCACGGCCCTCTCCTCTGCCTCTCAGGCCATGGAGCAGCTGCTGAGCCGCAGCCACGCCCCCCACGGACACTCCCCCTCCGCCTATGCAGCACCGTACACCTCAGCGTCCTCCAGGAGGGACCCGTCCGGGCGGAAGGACTCGGTCAGCAGCCTGCTGCACGGCCTGCCCGCAGCCTACCAGCACCCGTTTGCCGCCGGCTCTCCGTACGTCAGCGTGACCCCCCGCGCCGAGGCCTACAGCGCCTACCAGCTGAGCCCCCGGCGCCTCACACAGTACCCCTACCTATAGGGGGGCACACACACTTTTAACACAGAAAAAAAATCTACTTCCCACATACTATGACAAAGGGAGTTCAAACTGTATCTCTAATAGAATAACTGTTGTTTGCTGCTTCTGACTCGAAGGTGGCGTCTCTCCGTCGACTCATTACGGCCCGTCTACACAGCGGCTTTGGAAAAATCTTGGAGGTGGGCGTGTCTGAAGCTTGACCAACAACCAATCACATGAATCTCCCGCCCCTGACACACAAGCAGCGGTTTGATTGGCTAGAGCTTGTACTGGCATATGATTCGATTGGCTGACGCTTCTGCAGAGGCTGCAAAAGTTGAACATTGCTCAACTTTTGCAGCCTGAAACGCCAGGAAAGCTCCGCTCTGCTTCCCACAATGCAGTTCGGCGAAAAGTGACGTCACCCCATTCAAAGTGAATGGGCAGAAGAGTTTTGGAAGAAGCTTCCAACGCCGCTGTGTGGACGGGCCGTTATCCCTCTTTCGGGTCTTTTTTTAAATGGTATTATCTGACATTATATTGGTTTATTTCCCCTTTAACAATATTGTTTATAGCCCGTATTTTATCCCCATCTTATCCAGATGTATAATTATGGCATTGTGGTAAATGTATTTTACTCCTGATAATCTTGAGGTGTGGTGTGAAGAGAGATTATCCTCCTGTCACAAGCTGACACTTTAGGCGAGCTTTTAGACGCCTGACTCACACGGCTAGTGAAGGGCTAGCTGACAAAGAGTTGCAATTATTCATTTCTCATGACCCATGTTTTAATGTTTTCACACTAATCCAATGAGACCCTATGTTTTTTTTTAGCGAACGTATTAATGACTGTACCTTAACCCTATGTCTGATTACTCACAAATATGTCTTTTAGTATGTTCTAAATTATGTTTTGTCGGTGTGAGAAAGGAGGAGGAAGAAGAAGGTCAGAGAAGATATGGAATAAGAGAAAAGATGTGGTGCAAACTGTGATGGATACATGTTAATTTAAGTGCACATGTGATGGTCTGTTATTGTAGTGACAGTGTTTAGGCAAGATTAATCATCTCCTTATGCAATATAAACTTCTTTTTTTTTTAACTGCATCAACTGAGTGCTGAATGTATAACTGAAGTACAGAGGGGGATTAACCATCCACAGGAACGACGTGAAAAGCTTTTGTTTTAAATTGATTATGAAAATATTAACCTTCTTCCCTACTTTACTCTCCTTGAAATATTAAAAAACATCCAGTTTTATGTGGACCGAAAAATATTCTATATCTGAATCCTGATTGTGTAGGACCTGCTCATTTACTAAAACTGATTTATGGCCAGTTTGAAATGTTTTATGATCAGCATTTTGTCCTGGTTTCTCCCCATGACACTTTGGATATGTTCACTAGAAAGTTGTAACAAACCACCCACACTGCTGTCCTGGTGAAAATAAGATCTTTTAGCAAATAGGCTTCTGTGTTACTCTGTCTGATGAGAGCCCCTTTAACAGTTATGACCCTTTATAATAAGTCAAAGGTGGATCTGTCCATTCAATGTACATGAGGTATTAACCCCAGAATATGTGCATAAATGTCCCCTTTGATTTCACTCGCATCTGAATATAACATTTTGAATAACAACTCTTCACATGAGTTAGTGTGTACAGCAGGCACAGGTCTCGTCTGGAAACAGCTGATTTGGGCCTTTTCCTGCCACCATGTTTTAGTTCAAGGTGAACCTCGGGATGGTTTCTGTGGGTTATGAAAGCTTTTTAGAAAATCGTTCCCTGTTGTGTTTGCATCAGTTTTGTGTTGTAATGTCTGAATATTTAACTGTATTTCATCTTAACATAGTGTAGTTAAGAGGCTGTTTGGTAGAACTAATTCAGGGAAAAAAGGTTTCAGCTCAAATAATCCACTGTCACTGTTTTCAATAAAAATAACCACAAATTCACAATGGTTGGTTTTGTTGCTCCTCCCCCGATTCCAACATTAACCTTAAACTATCCATGGCATTAGTTAATGTATGACTTTTTAAAGTGTGTAACTATTCTTGTTACTTTCCACATATATTGTTTAAAATTCACAATGTGAAATATTAAGTGTTTAAAATCAACCATCAAAAAGACCAAATAATATATATTTGTTGCTATTGGTGAAACAGTTGAGGGACAATTTGAAAGTTTTATTATAATTAAACTACACTTTAGATAAAGTTAAAGAGTTCAAACAATGTTCTTTGCACAGCGGCACTATCTTTGAAAATGACTTGCAGTACTAACGGCAGAGGCTGCCGAACATTAATGATAACTTTTGGAAAATGTATAAAACGTTTCTATTTATGATTTCCGTCTGAAACAGCCAGACCCAATAAAGAGAAAAATCTCCAGCCGAGAGAAATCAACACTGGACGAGAATCAAGAGATACTTTTAAGAGAGATACTTTATTGACCCCAAATTGGGAAAATATGTGTTGAAGCAGCAACAAGCAAGTGTACAGGCATTAAAATATTAAAATCTTTAAAAGTGGAAGAAAGTATTAACATAATAAATAAAATAACAATAAAAACAATCTTGGGCTACTATAACATTATTCATTTCTCAAACAGAAACATTTTGAACAATAAAAAATATGACGGACCAACACTTTTAAAATAACTTAAATAATAATAATATTGTTTGTTTCTATATTGTGCAAATAAACCTAAACTACACAGATTTACCATTTTAACAAAGCAATGTAAATGTGATGTGTAGTGCAGAGAACATACACAAATAATCAGATCGACATAAAAAACAAACCAAATAAAATGCAAATAAAATAAATAACATTTAAATTGATAAAATTAGGTTTCAGTTTTCACAGCTTCAGCTTTTGTGCAATATTTAAATGTATGCAGGTAGGATTGTATGTGGGCATAACAAAAGTAAAGTTGGGTTTAAGGTTTGTACATTTTCAAGAATATGATGAAACATAATCAAATACCAACCAAATAAAACAAATTAAATGTTTGGTTTGAGTTTAGAATCTAATTAAGGGCATCTAAGTCCTTCGCTCCTCAGGCCGGCCTCTGATGTCATCAATAACAGCCGTAGTCCTGCTGCAAATCTAATGTAGTCCTGCAACATTCATCAGGTTCCTTTCCATACATCCATGGGCCCTTCAGTTAGAATGTAAAGAGGAACGGAGATGCCGTATACACAGGGCCGTCCCTGGCCAACTTGAGGCCCCACGCAAAGTTGTATGATGAGGCCCTCTGTTTTGCGAGCGTGGGGGGGGTTTACTAGTTTGCTAGTGGAGCCTCGCAGCGGGGAAAACATGCCGCACCACACTAATTGCGCCGCATAAGTGCATAGTTGCGGCTCAGTTGAGGCTCAGTTGAGGCTCCCTCCGCAAGGTGAGGCCCCACGCAGTCTGCATGATCGGCCTGTAGGGAGGGACGGCCCTGCGTATACGTCCACACATCCTCTGGAGTAAGGTCTTGCCACCAGACTGTTTTGAAACAGGCCTAAAGAGAGTGACGTATGTTTAGATACATCAGGTTGATTATCTTCATATCACACAGGCCTACATGAAATTACACAAGTGTAATCTATGTGAATAAAAACTGAGTCCCCTTACAGTGATGACTGGATGAGTTGTGTCTCAGTGTAGCTTAAATCCTCCATCGGGGCTGATGGTATCGCCCTCTCCTCCAACTTGTCCTCCACTATCTTGTCCCAGATCTCCGTGTTGACCCACAGGGCCCCGGGCAGGGTCAGGCTGGTCCTGGTGCAGGTGATCCAGCGGCACAGGGGGCAGGAGACGTAGTAGAGGAACCCCTTCAGCTGGTACAGCTGCTCCAGGCAGGGTGCACAGAAGGTGTGTCCGCAGTGCAGCACCCGAGGGACCCGGTCGCTGCGAGAGTACTCATTGAAGCACACCACACACTCCTTCTCCTCGTGTACGACCATGGTGTCTGAGGGTGTAGTGAGGTGGAGTGCAGACTGGGAGCAGATTGAAGGCATTCAACAGACCACCAGCTGCACAGGAAGAAAGAAACCAGTCAGAAATGCAATCAAATATTATCATTACTTTATACAAAAATGCATCTAGCAGTTTATTTCTAATAAGACTTACTTTCAGGGTTGATAAGGCTGCCTGTGATCCTGCTGTTGGTAACGTGTGTGTAGGTCTGCTGAGGTTTGCTGTGTCTGTGTGTGAACAGCTTGCGGCTATTTATCTAACCTGCCTGATCTTGTGACGTGTCGGAGGAATCATTTCCAGGTAGGAAGCTAAAAACATTCTGGGGAACTCCATTCTTAATCACGTACGCCAAACTGACTAGAAGTATTGCTGATATTATGTCTACCATCCTCTTAAAGTATAAAGGTGTTTTAACGCTTATTCAAAAATAGCAGAGAAACATGCATTATTGTACTCAGGAGGGGACATTGACAGAGGATTACTCAAAAAGTACACAGTAAAAGTACTTCATAGTATTTGTGGGACTAGTACTGAGTCCAACAGTGTCAATCTCAGGAAGAACTCATTGCAACAAATATTTTTTTCCCTCATCAAACTTAGCAGACTTGTGGTAACAAATATTTGTATCACTCATTGAATATAGCAGGAAAGAAAATGAAGAGTGCAGAATCGCTGCAATGTTGTCCATTTTAGACAAAGGCTTATTATATTTACAGCCCTAATAACATTAATTTTCTGCGCTCAATATGTGTATTGGCTGCTTTCGTTGTGATCGCTACATTCACCTTGTTCAAACACTGACCCAGATCGCTGGATCGCTAGAAACACCGCTGTCATCAGGCTGGCAAGGGCTGTTCCATGCTCTGCTCAACCTCCCGCCTTCCCAATGGACTCAGTAGTGCCCCCTGCTGCCGTGGAGCATGTGCCCATAGATATATATAGATATATCTATAGATATATCTATATCTATAGATATATATGCATGTGCCGGCCCCTGCGAAATATTACTGCCAAAAGTCGTGTGAGTGTGTCACGTGACTTTTGGCAGTAATATTCCGCCGTGAGAAGAAAAAGTTTTGTACTTGTAAAACCTATGCTGAATTAATTTGTCTCTGAAACATGATTTATTAGAAAAATGGTATGTGTTTATTTGATAGATACGTTTTTTCTTTGCAAAACTAAATGCATTAGTTTGTAGATGGTGTTTTGTATTTGCAAACCACATTGTGTTTGTTAGTGAATCACGAGGCATTTGTAAAACCTGTTTAGTTTGTTTGTGGAGTTATGGCAGGAAATTAGCTCCATATCATCACTCCTGTTTTGGCTCAGCTGGTCCAAAATGCGGCTGCACGCCTTCTTACCGGGAAGAGACGATATGACATCACTCCTGTTTTGGCCTCGGTGTTTTGGCCACTCAAAACAGGAGTGATGTCATATCGTCTCTTCCCGGTAAGAAGGCGTGCAGCCGCATTTTGGACCAGCTGCAGGCGACAGATCACACACTTATCAACACCAATATACAGGGAGTTACAACAGTCTAAAGGAGACGTTATAAATAGGTGGATTAGCTGTTCAAATTCCAGGAAGATAGGCCTTTACCTTCCCCAGAAGCCGCAGCTGGAAGAAGTTTGTCTTGAAAACTGAGCTTATCTGTTTGTCCAATTTAAAACAGTTGTCAAAGATGACTCCAAGATTTCTGACAGAGGGGCAGCTGTAGGAGGCCGAGTACACTATTAAAGCCATCCAGGAGTTCGGACTGTCCAAATATTAAAATATCTGTCTTGTTTTCGTTGAGAGTCAAGAAGTTGATTTCCATCCATGATTTAATGTCTTTCAGACAGCTAAGCAAGGCATTCCTAGATTCATTATTTGCTTTTATAGGCAGATATACCTGCAAATCATCTGCAAAGCAATGGTACGAAATGTTATGCTTTTTAAAAATTTACCCCAGAGGTAGTAAATACAGACTGAACAAAATGGGGCCTAGGATAGAGCCTTGAGGGACCCCATATCCTAGTGGGGTTGCAGCTGAAGAATACTGGCCAAGATGCACAGAAAAGATCCTTCCTGACAGATATGATTGAAACTATTTTAGGACGTTACCTTTAATACCAACACACAGTTCAAGGTTTGATCAAATAATTTGGTGGTCAATGGCATCAAAAGCAGCACGCGAATCTAAAAGCACTAGCACAGCAGAATTCCCAGAATCAGCAGTTAAAAGAAGATCATTAAAAACTCTCAGGAGAGCAGTTTCTGTGCTGTGGCGTGACTTAAAACCAGACTGAAACTTTTCTGATATGCAGTTTAAATCAAGGTGCGACTGCAGTTGCGCTAAAACCACTTTCTCTAGGACTTTAGACAGGAAGGGAAGCTTAGAAATAGGTCTAAAGTTGGAGAGAACAGAATGATCAAGGTTCTGTTTTTTTATAAGAGGCTGCACTACAGCGTGTTTAAAAAAGGTTGGAACACAGCCTGAGGTGAGAGATATTTATCAAAGTTAAAATGTATGACCCAATAGTATTACAAACGTCTTTCAGTAGTCTGGGAGGAATACTGTCTAAAGGGTATTGTGAAGGTTTCAATTTTTTTAACCACATCAGATAACTCGGTCAGTGAAACCAGGTCAAACTGCTCGAAGACTTATCTCCTGACTGAGCACACAGGAGACACAGCTGGGTCTAAGGTGAGAGGAGGAGGTAAAGATCTGATGGCCAAGACTTTATCATTAAAAAAATGAAAGGAACCTTTCACATAGAGTAGGTGATGGCACAACACAGGGACAGTTACAGGGATTTAAAAGACGATTAAGAGTGGTAAAAAGGAACTGGGGCCTATTTCTGTTGTTGGACACAAGATTTGAAATAAAATGTATTTTTGCACATTTAACAGCCCTCTGATATTGGCTTAAACCGTCTCTTAGGATCCCCAAGAAGGATAATCAGCTCAGAACTCGACTTTAGTTTCAGCGTGATGTACTTGGGGAACATCCCAACCAGTCTGGAAAAACAAGACAGATATCTGTTGAATGTTTTATGATCGATAAAGGCAGGATTTTGTCCTGTTTTTTCCCCATGATACTTTGGATATGTTCAAGGAAGTTGTAACAAACTACCCACACTGCTGCCCTTGTGACAATAAGATCTTTAAGCAAATAGGCTTCTGTGTTACTCTGTCTGATGAGAGCAACTTTAGCAATTATGACCCTTGTCAGTGGCGGCCAGCCCATAGGGGCGCCGTCCCACCTCTTCCCACATTCTAGATTGTCATTCAAAATACTTAATTTTTTTTAAATGTTATACTTTCTTTTATATTAACAAGGTACATATATGACCTGCTCCATCATTTTGAGTCACATCGACCCAGGAACACATTTTGAGTTCGCTGTATGTATGTAAAGAGGAAAGTCCCAGCTTTATGGCAATACCAACATTATCTTCTACGCCAAATATCGGCGTAGAAGATATGCTCTTCCAAAGTTTGAGTGTCATCAAACGTTATATTTGAGAAAAATGGCATTAAAGATAATTCATATGTTTCACATGGATTAAAACACATGTATTAACAGTCAAGTTAAAATGAACATGTATGGAATAAAATCGATAAAATACGAACAAGTATACTGTAGGGCCTACATATGATGTAATATATAATAGGGGTGGAAAAAATCGATTAATGTAAGAATCGATTCATAACGTCCACTTTCATAACTTTCTTTTTAATCAATACAAATACATTTTAAAAAGTTTTCTTTTTGTTTTCTTTCCACTTTTTGTATGTACATAATGAACAACTGCAACATCTGTCTTGCATACTATATAATGTTCTATGTAATTGAAGTTACAGTAAGAATTTATAATATTTTTAAACAGTTAATACATATTTAAACACAGTCATGTGCAGTCATACAAACTACCTGCCCACATCACGTCATCGTTCACGGGCGAGCCACAACTGGTTTTGGGCAAACCAGATCTTTTGTGTCCTCACACAGTGCAGAAGTCCCTGATGCAGTCGTACAGATACCACTGACGCATCGCATTAAGGCAGTGGTTCTCAAAGTGGGGGGCGCGCCCCCCCAGGGGGGTGCAGAGGCATGACAGGGGGGGCGCGAGAGAACAGGAGAAAAAATGGTTATTAAAAAAAAAAAATTAAAAAGATTTTAAATAAAATAAAATAAAAATCATATTTTGAAAAATTATTGATTCGAAAATAATATGATACAGTACAGTACTATTACGTCTGGGTGTCTGTGTTTCATTAAAGCTCGGCTCTGTGTGTGAGTGGAACGAGCCATTTTGTGTGTGTGCGCGAGCGAGAGAGAGAGAGAGCGCACCGGTACTGGAGATCGTTGTTGTTAGCTTCTGGTGCTAGCGAGCTACGCTAACGGATATAAGGAGTTTTTTCAACAACAAAGTGGAGGAGAGTCCTCTCCTGTCAGACTGAGAGACTCAGTGAGCTAAAGGACTCTCTCAGTGTTATCTCAGTGGGTCTCAAACGTTTTGGTCACCATTAATATAAATAAATTAAAAACAATTATGAAATACTATATGACATTAAAAAATGTATAACGTTTAAAAGGGGAGTGATTTGTAAAATATCCATAAAGAAATAGTAAATCTGTTTACAGTTCTGTGTTGAGAGATGTATCCATACTGTAGATCTCTTCATTTTGCTCTCAAAGTGCACCAGATTGATGCTTTTAACTTCAATATTTAAAAATAAATCTTCCCGGGGGAGCTTGCCCCCGGACCCCCCTATGTGAGGTCCACACACCACCTATAAAAATAGCACTTTACCCCTGCTTACACCTATATGCCGTGAGCTGATTATTGAGCCTTCATTGTAACAGTTGCGGGTACATTGTGTATATGCGTGGGGAGTGTTGCAGTAGAACATTCCACTGTAGCTCCCGGTACATTAATGGGAAACCCTAAATGTTTGAGCACCCTCTATGAAACGTCAAGCTACCCCACAGCACCCCCAAAATAAATCTTTGGCGCCGCCACTGAGCCTGACTATTTGTGTTGGGGGGGGGCCCGACTTTTTTTTTTCTCCAAAGGGGGGGCCTGACAGAAAAAGTTTGAGAACCACTGCATTAAGGCCAGGTGGTTTATGTGCAGTGGGCAGGGCTTCAGGGTCAAGGATTCCTTCATTGCGAAGGAGGAAGAAAGGCTCCTCTATGGGCTCAGAACAGTCTCATAATACACACATGCACACAGAAGGATTCACACTTTTATTTCTGGATCC